ATTAATTATTAAACTATCACCACCATTAACCATATTATATTAATATTAAACTCCATAGTTATTAAATAATCCCCATAACTTAAGGGTACCCACCAACACTCCTAGACACACCCCCACATAAGGATACACCAAAATAAAATAACACTAACAAGACTAAATAATTAAAATAGGTGTTACATGCCTCCCTCTATGGATAAATACATCATTGAGTTTGAGGTTTTCTTTAGTCAGTTGGCAAAGGATCTGTCAATGTGTAAGCAGGCCGACACCCAAATCAGGGGGAAGATTAACGAAATGAAACGCGTGTGGTATCTCTGCTCTATTTGTGAGAAAAAAACTTGAAGAATTTGAAGCCACGAAGAAGGAGCGTTCTGATAAATGCCAAGCCCTCGATCAGCAAATATCTGACTATCGAGCCTAAATGGCGGAACTTAAGAGGAAAATTGATGAGGTTGAGAAGCAGAAGGCTTATTTGGATTCCGATGAATCTATACAAGCTCATGAGGTAACTGACTAGGAAGTATCTCAAGGAATAGCCCATGTCGAGACCGCCCTTGCGCTCAAAAATACCATTGACCAAATGCGGCAGAGGAAATTTCTTTTAGAAAACAGGGTGGATTATGAGAGGACTCTTTTCGAAAGCTTCAAAGCCAAGTTTCCGGCATAGCCATATTGTTTTAAACTTTATTGATATTTTGATTGTAACTTCATTCTGGAGACATTTTGTAAATGTGTTAGCCTTCCACCACCGTAGGCCAATTATCAATTAACATTATTTTGAATTCGAACTTCTTGTAACATAGGTCTATATTTTTTCAAATATTTCCCATTTATTCTTATGATTAGTTGGTCATCACCAATATCTTGAATCTCGTATGCATTGTTGTTGAACATTTGGGTTATTTGGAAAGGTCCCTCCCAATTTAGTGACCATTTTCCTAACCTTCGATCTCGTCGATCTACAGGAAAAACCGTTTTCTATACATAGTCGTTAACTGCAAAGGTCATTTTCCTGACCTTCTTATTGTATGCTCTGGTCACGTGTGCCTTTTGGTGTAATAAAATGTCTAATGCCAAACCCAAGTGGGTCTTTTATAGTGTATTGTGATGCCTCGAAGATGGGTCTTGGTGGGGTACTGATGCAGATTGGTCAGGTCGTTGCTTATGCTTCCAGACAACTGAAGGTTCATGAAAGGAATTATCCTACGCATGACTTAGAGTTGGCCGACGTGGTGTTTGTGTTGAAAATTTGGAGATATTATCATTTTAGGTCTAGGTTCGAAGTGTTCAGTGATCACAAGAGTATAAATTATTTGTTTGATCAGAAAGAGTTAAACATGAGGCAGAGAAGATGTCTTGAACTTTGGAAGGATTATGATTTTGAATTGAGTTACCATCCTAGTAAGGCTAATGTTGTGGCTGATGTGTTGAGTAGGAAGTCCTTACGTATGTCGATGCTTATGGTTCGAGAGTTAGTACTGATTGGGCAATTTAGAATGAGTTCGGTTTGTGAAGAGGCTCCTAACAATGTGAAGTTGGGTATATTGAAGTTGATTGACCAATAGTATTCTCCAAGAAATCAGAGAATGTCAAAAATATGATTTGAGTTTAGTGGATCGTCTCACGTTAATCAATCAAGGTAACGGGGGTGATTTTTGGATCGATGAGAATGGTGTGATGAGATTTCGAGATAGAGTGTGTGTTCCTGATGTGCCAGAAATCAAGAAGAGCATTCTTGAGGAAGGTCACAGAAGCGGGTTAAGTATTCATTCTAGTGCCATAAAGATGCATCAAGATTTGAAGAAATTGTTTTGGTGGCCAGGTATGAAGAAGGAAATTACAGAGTTTGTGTATGCTTGTTTGACTTGTCAAAATTTGAAGATTGAACATCAGAGACCATCGGGTCTAATGTAACCATTGAATATTCCAGAATGGAAATGGGATAGCATTTCTATGGATTTTGTGATAGGTTTACCGAAGACTTTGAAGGGATATGATTCGATTTGGGTGATTATTAATAGATTGACCAAATCAACTCATTTTATACTGATGAGGATCAATTATTCGTTGCAGAAGCTTACCGAATTATATGTTGATCAGATTGTGAAACTGCATGGTATTCCTTCAAGTATCGTGTCTGATAGAGACCCAAGATTTACATTGAGGTTCTGGGAAAGTTTGCAGATAACTTTGGGTACTAAGTTGAGGTTGAGTTCTGCCTATCATCCGCAGACGGGTGGACAGACAAAGAGAACTATCTAGTCGTTAGAGGATTTGCTGAGAGCTTGTGTGTTGGATCAAGGTGGATCATGAGATAGTATTTTACCATTGATTGAGTTTACCTACAATAACAATTACCATTCTAGTATCGGAATGACACCATATGAGGCTTTGTATGGTAGGAGGCGTAGGACTCCTTTGTGTTGGTATGAGTCAGGCGAGAATGATGTACTTGGACTTGAGATTGTGCAAGAGACGACTGAAAAGATCAAGATGATCCAAGAAAAGATGAAGCGTCGCAGAGTTGTCAGAAAAGTTACCATGATAAAAGGAGGAAAACACTTGAATTCCAAGAGAGAAATCACGTGTTTTTGAGAGTTCCGCCGGTAACTGGTGTTAGCCGAGCTTTGAAGTCTCGAAAGCTCACATCGCGTTTTGTTGGTCCGTATCAGATTTCGCAAAGAGTGGGGGAAGTAGCATATCAGATTGCTTTACCGCCGTCGCTTGCGAATTTACATGATGTGTTTCATGCGTCTCAGTTGAGGATGTACATTCCAGACCCTTCGCATGTGATTCAAATGGATGATGTACAAGTGAGAGACAATTTGACTGTTAAGGCATTGCCAGTTCGGATTGATGAACTAGAAGTGAAACAACTGTGAGGTAAAGAGATTGTCTTGGTGAAGGTAGTTTGGGTAGGAACAACTGGAGAAAGTTGGATTTGGGAGCGTGAAGATCAGATTAGGGAGTCGTATCAGACTTGGTTTCCTTGAGGTAATTTTCGAGGGCGAAAATTCTTTTAAGTGGGAGAGAGTTGTAACACCCCAATTTTATTGGAATATTTATTTATTTTGTTTAAATATGAATATTCGTATTTTTGGTGATTTTCGATGGTTGGTGTGAAATATTGAGAATTATGGATTTTGAGTTATTTATTTAAATAATAGTATATAATATGAATATATTATTATTATTATTATTAATTTAAATAAATATAAGTTAACTAAGGGCAAATTGGACAATTAAGGAGGAGTTAATGAAAGTAATATTGGAAAAAGCCAATTTATAGGCATAAAGTTAGGTTTAACAAAAAAGAATTTTGAGAGAATTAGGATTCATTCTTGTTAGACCGCCAAAAGAGAAGAAATAGAGGCCAGAGCTCTGAGGAAGAGGATTGAGGCAAAAACTTCACAAGGTTTCTGAGAATCAAGGATAAGGCTTAGAGTCGGCAATTAAGGTATGAGGAGTATTGCCTTCATTGTTTTCAATATGTGATTTTAATGTATTTAAAGCCGATTTAAGGGTTTAAAGGGTTTCAGGCTGATTTTGAGATAAAGGAAATTAGGCCTTCGTGGCTAAAATCTATTATTGAGGTTTTTACCATAGGGATTTGAACTGATGATCTGATAGGTTTGAGGTTGATTTGGGTTTGAGGAAAAGTAGGCATTCGTGGCCAAAATATGTCGTTGAGGTTTCAACCCTGTAGGGTAATTAGATTGTGAGAAAGTCTAATGATTGTGGTGTAGTTGTAAGGATTTATGGGAATTAGAGCGTGAATATGATACGAGATTGACCTAATAAGTTGTAGATTTTATGCCTTTATCACCGTAATACCTTAAGGATGTTTTGGGGGGCATTAGGGAAGGAAATCGTTGGACTTTTGGGTTGATTTTAGGTTCTGGTGCGTAACAACAAAAGTAATCGCGTGTTCGTACAACGAACGAAACTCGTCCCAGACTCGCACAACGAAAAAACTCGCCCCAGACTCGCACAACGAACTTGCTAGCGAATGTAGCAGAGTTTCGCGAATTCTGATTTTGTGCAGCAATGTCTTGATGTTTTGATGTTGAGATTTCTTTGACGAATTAATATGAGTATGACTATGATTTCTATGTGATTAGTACATGATTATATGATGATTCCTATGATGTAATGATTGACGAGCTATGATGATATTTCCATGAGTTTTGATGATTCTATGATGACATGAATTATGATGGTGATTTTGATGAATCATGATGCACCTATGATGTTATTATGAGAATGATTATTGAGGTGTGCATCATGCATTCATGTGCATCCGGACTTCGGTTCAGGACCTTGACTTCTTTGCCTTCAGTCCCATTGTGCGGATCTGATGTATTTTGATGTGCTCCGGTTCTTGTATAAAATCGATCCTATTGATGGAGATCTATGGAGGGTTGATGACTCAGTGTCCATCGAACTGTGATGATTAGTACCACATGCATGAGTCTTGTTCCATTTTCATTTATTGAATATTTTTAGATCTAAAAAAGATTCATAAAATAATTTAAAATCTTAAAAAAATATATAAAATTTTTAAAATTTAAATTGAAATTTTTTTGTTGTAAAGAGTCTTTTAAAAAAATTCTAAAAAGTCAAAATAGTCCCACGTAGTCTTTTATCAAGATTTTTTATATCAAAATAATCCCTAAAATTTTTAATACATTTCATCCCCTACATTTAATGGACCCCGAGTTTAATTAAAACTTTTAATTTGAAGAACGTTGTGCATGTTTTTATTTCTAATTATTTTTTTTATAGTTTGGATATTTACCCTAAAATTAAAGGAAAAGGGCCGTATAAGTAAAAGGAAGGGGTGTAACAGAATCTCTCGATTGAAATACAGGTTTTGGTTCGTAAAAAAGCGCTTATTCCAAACGCGATCTGTGGTGGTGGTGCTGCAGAAACATCAAGGCAAAACCAAAACCCCCATTCACACACCCGCTAGGGTATCTTTCTTCTGCTAACGCAACGAAATGGTAACTCCCCATTCCATTTCCCTCTTTTTTATTCAACCTTTTTATGAATCAAACACATAACTTGCGCATTTTTCAATTATCAAATTAAAACCGTTGATGAATTTTTCTGGTTCTCAAAATCATACTGCGTTTGAGCTTTCTATGCACTGCTTTAATTATTCAGATGATTAAATAGAAAATTTTGCGTGTTAGGGTTCTAAGCTATAATTTTGTTTTTCTGTACTTTTTTTGGTTATAATTGTTACTTGTTTGCGGTTTATATATCTTAGCTGCTTATTACAGGCTGATCCTGAGCTGGAAGCAATCAGACAGAGAAGGATGCAGGAGCTTATGGGTCGGCGTGGCGCGGTTAGCTATGGTTATCCTATGTTTTGTTTATCATTATTCTTTCACAGCAGATTTTGAGACTTTGTTTGTCATTATTTTTATATTGCAGGGAAATCAACCAAACCCTGAACAGCAGAGCGCTCAGGAGGATGCAAAGAGGTTAGTGTATGAATGTAAATTTCTCGTGCTGTTATTATGCTGATTATTCAACTCAGTTGCATAGATTTTATTTCAGGAACTTGTTCATCTGTATATATATTTTCTTTGGAATGACATTTTTTTTATTTGAATGGGAAAATAATTAATCTAGGGAGGCAGAGGAAAGAAGACAAATGATGCTTAGTCAGATACTGTCTGCTGAGGCACGAGAAAGACGTATGTATATAACAATCTTTCCTTAGATGTTATTTGATTTTTTTTAATCTATTATTATTATTATTATTATTGTTGTATTATTGTTTTTCCTTTTAAAGCTTAGTCTAGTGATGATTGTCTTAAAATAACATGGCTGTGTATTTTCCTGTACTTTCACTACTGGCAGAAGATAGAACAAAAACTTTGTAGTTTGCCATTGTGCAATTAATATTTCAATCATGTCTTCAGTCAAGCTTCAATGAGTATATCAAGTTTATAGCATGTAGTTGCCAATATTTTCTTAAACTTCCATATATTTGTATTTGTATCACCGACTTGTGTAAGATATTTTGTCAAACCAACTTTATTCATAGAAGTTGTTCACAATCATCATAGAATTTATTGCCAATAAATAAAGAATAGTAATATATTTTGGTTTTGCTATGTACTCATTGTACCTAAATAGTGTAGTTTCTACTTTCTACTCTAGGTACATAAGAATTCTGATGTCCAGTTTGGAAAAGTTCAAATAGAGTCTCCAATCATTTGATGATTTTGATCCAATAATAGAACAAAGTAACCTGGCAATGTCTCTGATACTTTGTACTTGTAGTTTGATAAGCAGAAATTACTTCCAATTTTTTCCCTGTATCCTCTGTTCTCTTTCTGTCCTTGTGTGCACAGTCGTATCTTATATGTTATATGTAGTTACCATCTGAGGATATCAGGTTGGATTATAGAATAGATACCCTATGGTTGGTCTATATCCTTGCTTCACTTCGTAGCATTAAGTGGTGTAGGATGATAGTAATTTGTTGGGGCTGGTATGCTTTTTTAAAGTTTTAGAAATCTGAGAGATGTATCTGGTTTTGTGAACAGAAAAAAAAAGAAAAAGAAAGATGGATATAGGAGGTTATAAGTTGACTTATGAATGTACTCAATGTAGTCGGATTGGAAATTTAATTGAATGATTTTAGCTCAAACTTATATAGGTAGGAAGATACAGATGCATTCTTCTTAGTTATTTGTAGACACGGTAAGATAAATCACATTTGCATTTTAAAATAATATATTTAAACATTGAAAGATCATGTTTGCCAATGTATTTCTGAATTTCCTTTGAGAATTCAAGGGATTAAAGTATTTTGCTGCACGGAATTGGCTTTCTTCCGCGTTTTTAAATTTATATGATTATGTGCAGTTGCTCGAATTGCTTTGGTGAAACCAGAGAAGGCAAAAGGCGTTGAAGATGTTATATTGAGAGCTGCTCAAATGGGTCAAATAGCCGAAAAGGTATATTGGATGTTGTCTTTTGCTGCAACTTTTCTCATTCTTATGAATCTTATCACAAGTTGTTGGTAATATTTTATTACACCTATTGTCATGCAATCTGTGAGGCTCTACTTATACCATCTACTTGTTTGATCAATTGTTGGTATGAGAAAGGTCCTCTATCTAGGATTTATAAAAAATGTTGGTAAGAATTCCGCTTATGATCTAACGTGGTTTTCCAAAGGTTCAATGTTCTCATCTTATTTGTAACTTACATGTAAAACCCTAATATTTAGTTTTTAATGATATTTGATAGAAAAGTTTTCAGAATTCTACACTACAGTAGGGAGCTAGACACATGAGGTCTTAACATGGAACTTAAGATCTTACCCATATGTTATACATTAGAAATTACAATTAAATTATACTCCTATTAGAATACAATTAAAATAAAGTACTGGCACCTTTCTTCTTCTTCTCTATGAGAGCTATTATCATATAGAAACTTGAAAAGGCGAGTTTGACAGGGAAACTCTGGAAGGCTTTTTACTGCAAATCCACATCATAAACTATCCAATGAATCTCATGTTTTTGCTTGGAAACTAGGAAAATATATGCCATAAATAAAACCTACTACTCATATGAACTGAAGTTGGTGCTTGAAATACTGAAGTGCTAACTCAGATGGAAGCTTTGTAGAAGGAATGCAAAGGCAGAATTAGTAGCAGGCTTGAAGGACCTAGTTTTGGAGAAAGGAAATGGCCTTCCCATTGCAAAGCGTGTTGGCTGTGGGTATACATTTAGGCTTTGTTTGGGAGTTTGGAGGGGAGGGGAAGGGAGGGCTATGAAAAATGATTTTTAAAAAAATTATAGAGAAAAATGTTTTTTGAAAAATAGATTTTGTATAGAATGATATAAAAGTGCTTATCATTAACATATTTTTAATTTTTGGAATACTAAAACAACATAAGTTATATTTGAACAATTTGTGTAAGTCCTCCAAAACCCTCCAAACCCCTTCTCCATTACAATTTTTTAATTCATCTAAATTAGGGGGGTTTTGATTATTGAATAAAAATAAATCCTCCAAAACCCTCCCCACCTAAATCCTTCTATACCTTTTACTCAATCTTTTTCTTTTTTCAAAGCCCTCCCTCCCTTCCCTTCCCCTCCAAACTCCCAAACAAGGTCTTACGTTTTGGGGTAGGGTTATGCTTGGTTTGCTCAGGTTTTTGAGTATGTTTCAAGCATTTGTTACTAGGCTTGGACTGGATACTTGTACAATAGTAGTATAATTCTACCTATAGAGTTGTCATTATGACATCCTTGTTTGACAGTAAGATGCTGAAAGTCGGAAGATATCAGGCTAGCAGTCTAAGGCTTGGTTGAGAATGAGTTGTTTAGGTAGATTTTCTATATCATGTTTACATGCAAGGATTTGGTTTTTGATGGTGTCTTATATGAGCCAATTTCAGGTCACTGGATTTTCAGTTTATTTGACAGTCCCAATAGTGTTAGTGTTGAAATATACTCTCTGGGATGATGGTTTTTTCCCATAACCCATCCTCTATTTCCTTGATCAATAAAGGCTATAAATTTTCCTTCCAAAATTTGAAACTAAGAAATTACAGTTGGAATTGTTTTTTGTTGTTGTTGCTTATATACTGTCATGTCTCCATATGAAGCATTTTTGTATCAAGATATCTTCCATGACTGATTTATCAAATGGAATTCTTAGGTTTCTGAAGAAAGGCTCATAACTCTGCTGGAGCAGATTAACAGCCAAACAGCAAAGCAAACAAAAGTTACAGTAAGTTATAAAAAATCAGCTGCATTGTTCTGTTTTCTTTGATCAGTTTATTTATTAACCGTCGCCTTTTTTTCTGTTTACATTTTCAGATACAGAGGCGTCGAAGTGTTCTCGAGGATGATGATTAGCTTTCACCATCTCTTAACTTGTTTCTTGGGCAATGATTTCATGTGTATTTTATTGACGAGATGTTTTATAAGTGGGTTGTGAAATATGTTTTACTTTGAAATTTTGGGCTTGTTGCCTGGCCACCAAATTAAACTGCATATTTGAAATATTTGTGCGAATGAATGGAAGTGAAGGCGTGTTTTGTGAGGAAGGGAGAATACATAAAAATGAAATTGTAATTTCGTAAGCTTTCAATTTGATAAAAATATTTTTTTATACTAGTAGATGATTGATTACTTGTATACTAAAAACGGCTATTTTAATTTTTAGTATTGTTTTGCTCGATATGGAAATTTAGAGGTTGAAACTTAGATAAATGATTGTTTTGCAAAAGTATTCATCTTTGATAAAAAACACAATAATTTTTAGAGGATTTCTTTAATGCATCTTATATGGTTCTTAGATATCATGTGAAATTATTTAAATGTTTTTAATTTTCGGAGATGTATATTCAGACATACCAAATTTGTAAAGAATGTTGAGATATTTTGGAGATACATTTATGTAACTATTTAAAACATATAGGGTGAGATGTATTTCTCTCGGATGCCATTATATATTTGAAGTGTGTCAGAGATGCATCTCCGTGAATATTTTGAAGATACATTTTTATAACATCTCAGAAATATGTCTTTCATGTTATATTTTAATTATATGTGTTCATAAAAAAATTTAAACCATACCATACAATCTAAAATAGTGCTACCTCTCCGTCCCATATATGTTTGAGTTGGCACTAGATCAACATCAGCAGTAGGAGGTGAGATTAAATCAGTAACATCTATAGTGGGCGGTGACACTGGTGAAACCTGGCGCCTGTGGGAGGATGGAGGGAGTGACACGTCAGATGGTAAATCTCGTCTTTTACGGGAAGAAGAAGATGAAGTGACATGAGAAGAGGCAAGAGCCCTAGGAGTAGACGACTCTGCATGACCAGAGGGACCAAGAGCCTCTGGAACCTGCTGACTCTTCTCCCGCCGAACGAATGCATGCTGAACAATCCTCCATGCCGTAGTCTATCTTGTCTATCAACCATTACGTCTGCAAGTTAAAGTAAGGATGACCATTAGTGTAGACAAACAACACACAAGGAAGAAAAAAAACATTGCAGGAAATTCTGGAGATGCATCTCCGAAATCTGGGGAAAACTAAAACGTTGAAAAGTTTCGGAGATGCATTTCTGGAATTTCCTGCGAACATTGAAAAATTCGAGAAATGCATCTCTGGAATTTTCTACAACTTAGAATTTGCGTCAATGGCGTAATGTACCACATGCAATCTCAAAAAAACTTGTTTTGATAATCATATTTTGCCAACAAACAACTAATACACTATGTATAAACTATCTTAAATGTTACAGATGAAGATTGATATTTTCTTGAGTCTTGTTGAATGGAAATTGACTTGGTATAAAGAAGAAATTTGAGAGAGTTTAAAGTTGAGTTTGAGTAAAATGTGAAATGAGGAAGGAGAAAAGTCTGATACTACTTAATCTCAAAAATATTTTGGAGATGCATCTCCAGAATATTTTAACGTTAACTGACCTTTTGGTGCGTTCAAAGACGCATCTCTGAAAACTAAAGACATTTTTAAAATTTTGCGTGATGCATAAAAAACATATGAATTGCATTAAGAAATCCTCAATTTCTACTCTTGCTATACGAGAGTCTAGAGTTATGTGATGCAAAGACTGCTAAAGTTTTTAGATTGTTTTAAACAAGGAATTTTGCGATTAATTGTTGTTTTATGAGGGTGAATTTTGAATTTCATTGATTGGATTTGACTAGGAATTTAAAGAGATGAATAGGAGAATTTGTCCAACTCATATCCGACACCTCCATTTTTTTCATAATAGTTAAAATATTCTTGTTATTTACGTCACTTTAAAAATGCAATACAATTAAAAAAATCGATAGGATTAAAAATTTGGTAGTTCATATTTAGCAGGTTTATAAAAAAGTTAAATTAATATTATCGAATTTTTTGATAAATCTAATATGTTTTGTAATCTTTTGGTTTTTTAAAAAATGCAATAGTTCATATTTGATAGGTACAAAAAGATTAATACTATTGGATTTTTTTGAAAAATTCGATAAGAATTCATAAAGTTGTCTTGGTTCATGTTGTCTCGGTCTTCATGTGCTTGCATCCATTAGAAGTGACTATGGTAGAGAGTTCGACAATGCATCATTTGAAATTTTTTGTGAAGAACATGGCATCTTTCATAGTTTTTCAGCACTGAGGACTCCTCAACAAAATGAAGTGGTTGAAAGAAAGAATCGATCTCTAGTTGAACTTGCAAGAACCATGCTAAGTAACTCAAATATACTAAAGTATTTTTGGGCGGATGCGGTTAACACGACATGCTATGAAAGTAATCGGGTTATCATTAGATCAATCTTGAAAATGACTCCATATGAACTCTTCAAGGAAAGAAAGTCAAAGATTGTTCACTTTCATATATTTAGATGTAAGTGCTTTGTGCTCAATAATGACAAAGACAAACTCGATGAGTTTGGCGAGAAATCCGACAAAGATATTTTTCTTGGTTACTCTCTCTATAGTAAGGCTTATAGAATTTTTAATAAAAGAAATTTAACTATTGAAGAATAAATGCATGTTTCTTTTGATGAATCTAACCCCTTTAAAGAGGATATAGTTGTCTGTGATGATGCTGATATTTTAGAAGTATCTATGGAAGACATTGCCAAAGATGACAAGTTGATCAATCAGAACACAAAAAGGAAACTATTTAATAAAAGAAAAATCAAATTGATCTTCCTCAAGAGTGAATAACCCATTGTGATCACCCAACTGACAGAGTTATTGGTGACATAAGTAAAGGAGTTTCAACAAGGCTAAATCTCAAGGATGCTTGCTTGAATATGACAACTGTTTCTCAGATAGAACCTTCAAAGATTGATGAAGCCTTAGAAGATGGTCAATGTATTCTTGCCATGCAAGAAGAATTAAATCAATTCGAAAGAAATCAAGTTTGAGAACTTGTTCCTAGGCCAATTGGTAAACACATCATAGGTACTAAATGGGTGTATAATTGTTCGAAGCAAATTAAGATTGGTGGCTCAAGGTTATAATAAAGAAGAAGGAATTGACTTTGATGAAACATTCTCTCCGGTTGCAAGGTTAGAAGTTATTCATTTATTACTTGCTTATACATGTTCATTAAATTTCCAGCTATTCCAAATGGATGTCAAAAGCGCCTTTTTGAATGGATACATCAATGAGGAAGTGTATGTCAAACAACCTCCTGGTTTTTAATACTTCAAGAACCCTTCACATATCTACAAGTTGAGAAAGACTCTTTATGACTTGAAACAAACACCAAGAGCATGATATGATGGACTTAGCAACTTTTTATGTGAAAAAGGATTTGAAAAAGGTAAAGTTGATAATAATTTGTTTATTAAGAAAATCAGAAGTCATACTTTATTGGTTCAAGTCAACGTTGATGATATCATATTCAGATCAACAAACAAAGACCTATGCGAAGAATTTTCGTTGATGATAAAAGGAGAATTTGAGATGTCCATGATGGGTAAGATGAATTACTTACTTATACTACAAATTAAGCAATTAAAGAATGAAATCTTCATCAACCAATCCAAGTATTGCAAAGAATTAGTGAAAAGGTTCAACATGGACAATTGCAAAGAAATGGCTACTCCAGTGGGTTCCGGAACATATGTAGATCAAGATGAATCTGGTGTTTCTATTGATATCACAAAGTATCGAGGTATGATTGCTTCTATACTTTATTTGACGAAAATCCATCCTAACATTATGTTTAATGTTTGTCTTTGTGCATATTTTCAAGCTAATTCAAAGGAATCTCATCTCATCACCGTAAAAAGGATCATGAAGTATCTGAAAGGAACAACTAATATTGAGTTATGGTATCCAAAAGGTACTATATGTCATTTAGTTGGTTATTTTGACTCGGATAATGTAGGATGCAAAATTGATAGAAAAAGCACAAGTGTTATTTTCCACATCCTAGGAAATGTATTAGTTTCTCGGTCTTGTAAGAAACAAGCATGTGTTGCTCTTAACACTGCATGATACATATCATCGGGTAGTTGTTGTGCTCAAATTCTATGGCTCAAGCAACAACTTCGTGACTACGAACTTGATCTCAGATGTATTCTATTACAATGTGACAACACAAGTGCAATAAACATAACAAAGAATCTAGTCATGCATTCAAGAACCAAACACATGGACATAAGACATCACTTTTTAGGTGATCATGTTCTTCAAGGCGATGTAGAAGTCACTTTTGTGGATACACATAATCAACTAGCACATATCTTCATTAAACCATTGGCAAAAGATTCATTTTATAAAATTTGGAGAGAAATAGGGATCTTTGATGAAAAAGACATATAATCACTCATAAAACTTTATGTATCTTCATTAAAGGAACATGTATGTCTTCAATTATTTAAAATTTTCGCATCTCTACTTCTACTCTATTCTTCTAAATATTTTAGATTTTGTTTGAACCATTGTGATAATCATGATATATTTTTGAATAATTATGATGACATATGTGTTAATTTATGATTATGAGTGTTATATGTATTATGTTTGATGAAAAATTGGATTTCAGGCAAAATTAAAAAAAAAATCAAATTTTTAGTGGAAGTAATCAATTACATGCCTATGTCAATCGATTGATGTCTCAATTTTTTTAAATTAATCGATTACATTCTATTTAAAACATGTTTTTTTTTGTGTGGATTTGGCAGTATGTAGAGCATATTTATGTCAATGATTGCATGGTCTTGTCAATTGATTGATGCTTTTTCAATTTTTAATTTTTTAAAAATTTATTTTCAATAAAACCTCCTTATTACTTCCCCTTTATAAATTGGATCTTCCCTTTACCACATAACATAACCCTAGTCGCCCACGCCATTTAAAATTCAGATTTTCCCCC